ATTCTGTCGCATTAGGAAATGCACGTGGCAGCCAGTGACACGCGAAGGCCCCTCCATCCTGCCTTTGGTTCCTTACGTGCCCCGCAGAAAATGGGAGCGACCCCGGGAAATCCCGTGGGATTTTATACGCCCGCGCGTAGGAATAGCTCTGTGCAAAACCCCCGTCTCAGAGCTGCGTGGGGTCTCATCGCTCTACACATCACACAGCACCTTCCCTCCGGGGTGGGCACCTCTAGCCGTAGCCCAAAGTTGACGCTAAATTGTGTCGCTGCCCTTCCACCAGGCTTTTCCCTGCCTTTCCTTCAGAAGTGCCCAAAGGCTTCTCCAACACCCCCACGGCGTTACACCTCCACCCCTGCTCCGGCTCCAAGGTGCTCTTTGCTCTCCAAACTCTTCCCATCGCTTCCCGGCGGGAATTTCACGACTCATGGAAGGAGCTGGGCGGGGAGACACTCTGCTGCGACACTCTGCGACAGTCGCACCACGTCTGTGTGGCTCTAACCTCCGCCACCTCAGACCCAACACCTTCCTCACACCACCTCGAGAAACCTGGCCACTCGGCTACACGCACACGGGGGGTGGGGGACGGGACGACATGGTGCCCCGGGAAGGGCTTCTACTTACAAAATCTGTTCCCGTACGAGCACCCTGCCTTAAGCAGCTCCTCAGTAGCCTCCTCCCTTCGGGGAAGGAGAACGGGTTAGCTGCCTTCCAAAAAAATAAAATAATAAAAAATAAATTAAAAATCTGCAGCTTAAAAGAGGGTCCGCGTGTGTGTGTGTGTGGTGTGTGCCCCGCGTCGGCTAATTTCTTCCTACAGCGGGATCGCGGAGGAAGCTGGGGAGCAGCGAGGCGCTACATCCCGTGGAGCCCCGGCAGAAAGGCCCTCACGAAGGACGGGCTCTCTCTCTGAAGGCGGCTCAGGGAGGCCGGAGCCGGGCACGCCGAGACGGGCACGTCGGCGCTGGGGTCCTCGGCCGCCTCCCAGACCGGAGGCCGGCCGGAGGGGCGGGATGCAGCTCCGCCGAGACCCGGCTACCGGAGGGTTTCAAGGGAGTTCGGGGGCTGGACACTCTCTGGAGGCTCCCCGGCCCCGGGGGTGAGCCAGGGGTTACCGGCCGCGCATCGCGGCTGCTGCCGTACGGGCGATTTGCTGCCGAGACCTTTTCGTGGAGGAGAGAGGGCGAGAGAGCCGGGTTTGAGAGAAGGCAGAGGTGGAGGAGCAGCCCCCAGCTCCGCTCTGCGACACCCCCGTGTCGGGGGAAGTCCAGCAGAGGCAGGGACAACGGTCACCGGCACCCGGGGCTCCGGCAGCACCGTGCGGGACGGGACGGCCCGGTCCCTCTCTTCGGCACCACAGGGAAGGAGTGGGAGGGGAAACACGGCTCTTGTCTGGCCCTTGCCCGAGTCTCTTTCCCCCCCTTCCCGCTTTGATTTGCCCGGCCGGGGGGACCCCGCGGTGGGGGCGCGGGGGTGTGCGGGGGCGGCCGCCGGCGGAGCGGCCCGCACCTCGGGACGGGCCCCCTGCCCGGCCACGCGTGCCCTTTCTCCGTGTGGAAACACTCCGACCCCGCGTCTCCCACCCTTCCCTCCCCGCCGCCTTTTCCCTCCGAGTCTTCAACGATTTCCTACCTGAAAAAAAAATAAAAATTAATCTTTTTGCCAGGCGGGTCACAAGCGATCAACAGGCTGTTGTATATTATAATGTTTTCATATTCCTCTCGGCTCCCCCTGCCCTCTACCGACTCACTGTAGATGTGACCTTTGGTATTTCAGCCCACACTCAGCAGTTGAATGGAAACAAGTTGAGCACGTTCACTTCTGATAAACATTATCCTTAAACCACTGGAGACCCGAGCAGAGTAAACGAGCTTTTCCGACAGGACCACATCAGGAACACACATTGAGAAAGGGAAAGAAACCAAATATCCAGGAGATCAGAGGCGGGCTCGGGGGTG